TCCACTCCTACTCCCTTGTCCCCCCTTTGTATGTGCTGTTCTGCTGTGATGAGTGGGTGGCAGGTTGTAGCACCTGAGAGATTTGTGTCTGGGGCCCCTCCTAAATCTACCCCCTTTCCTTTTCCTCTGTTTTCTCCTTTAGTTTTCTTTCAGTTGGATCCTGTCCTCCTCCATGCAGCTTGATGGTCTTTTCTCTCTTCATTCCCCACCTTTACCCTCCACTTATTCCCCCAAAGTACCCCCAAAATCCTCCCCCCACCCTTCCATCCTCACTCAGTCTCAGGTGCTTTATCTGTCTTAATCTCACACACACACACATAAGCAGGAGCCCCCTTGTTTTCCCACCCCTTTGCCACACAGATCAGTATCTGCTCTTCTCCTCCCCTCCTGTCCCACAGGGGAAAAAGAGGGCCCTTCCAAGCCAGCCAATTCGCTTCCTTTTATTTTTTTGTAGCCTTGTGAACATTTGATTGTTTTATCACACAGAAATGTACAAAGAAATAAAAGTCCTCTGCCCAGTTGCCCCATATCCCATTCCACCCTATACTCCTATAACCTACTGCTTCCTATCCCCTGACCCTGAGTCTACCCTCCCTGGGTAATACTTTGCTTGCAAAATGTCTTTCCAGGCCTTTTTCTATGCTTACTCTAACATGCATCTATAAATATATAGCATTCATATACACACTCACAGAACTTTTTGGGCTTTTACAAAAAAGTAAACCTGTCATATGTTTTTTTTTCATTTAAAATACAGTGGCCACGCCTCCAATACTCCAATATAGTATGCAGAATCTACCATGTATTTTTCACATAGCTCTTGGATTTTCGAGCTTTCTTCTGCTATCTCCTTCTTCATAGTTCATGTCTCCCATATTCAAAAGAATCCTTTCTCAACAGTATATCCTACTTTACTCTTCATAGCCAGGAGTCCTTGAAAAGGAGACTCTCCTCACTGATTCCACTTCATCCTTCTCACTCCTCGATCCTGCAGTATGGCTTATGTTCCCGCCACTCCCCTAGATCTGCTCAAAGATCCAAAGAAAATCCAGACCCAGTGGGTACTTTTCAGCTCCTATCTTAGAGGGCCTCTCAGCCTCCATGACCTTTTTCTCTCTTGCTCCTTCCCTTGTTCTCACTGCCCCTAAGTACTTCAGTGGCTTCATGGTTTCCAACCATGAATGATTCTGCTCTCTAGTGGGCATGTGGCAATATTTACAGATATTTTTCCTTGTCACAACTGGAGGTATGGGAGGGTGGATGTTCCTGGCATCTAGTGGGTAGAAGCTAGGGATTCTCTTAAACATCATACAATATTCTGGACAGCCCCCTGTAAAAAAGAATTATCCAACCCCAAATGTCAAGCGTACCAAATTACGAAACCCTGTCCTAGAGGGTTATAAATACACCCAAAGACATTTCTGAAAAGTGCAGGCAAGGGATCTGGTCTCCAGTCCTGATGATACTTGTCCATACTCAACAAAGAGACAACCCAAAAGTCACATCTAGCTTCTGCAAAGATGTCCCAGGGCCACAACAGCTTCTCAGTCTTCGGGTCCACAGACCCTGGGTGATTTCTGGGGCTCCTCCAGTGGCATCTCAGTCAGGTCCAGGTGTAACTCCTTTCCATCCTTTAACCGGTAGGCTAAACCATATATTAGCCTCTGTCAAAAGAGGGTGAAAAGTCAGAGGGAGAGAATTACTAATCTGTACCTACCCTCTTACCCCACCCACTCCCATCCTTTACTACCTACTCCTTCCCTCTGAAAGCTGATTTTCCATTGGGGTATGTTTTTGTACTATTTCACATTTAAAAAAAAATCACTGAGAGCTTTGTAACCACATTCTCCTCTCATATTTATCATGGTGGTGGGCTGGGGGAGAGAAACTCAAGATGGCACCATGCTTTGGTCAGTGGTCAATACCAGGAAACCCCTGAGAGCCATCAGTTCCTACTTACCTTCTTGGTAGTGGCAGGAGTTCCCTGTTCGGATGTCTGTTCCATGTTCTTCCCATTGGCAACTGGGGAATATTATCCTGCCATGGGGTTGTATAGTCATAGCAGACCTTGCCCATAGGTGATGCTGGCATCCTTTAATGTAGCCCTTGGAATAGCAAATATCTGTTCTGTTGATTTGGGTCAGCATGAACCTGAGGTTAACCCCAGGCTTGCTTCGATCATTTCTCATGATGTAATTCCCTCAGACCATGAATAAGCTCATCCAGTTCATTCTTGAAAACTCTTGGGATGCAGAAATTCCCACTATTCTCCACACCCTGAAGCAACTCCCCATCCAGTTCCAACATTTTCTTTGATAGTCCATTATTTGCAGCTGCTCTCCTGGTGCCAGTTTCTGACTTGAAAATAATCTGGTTGCCCAGAACAGGAACCTACTCAAGTTATCTAAAGAAAAGGGGATCTGTGTAAAGCATATTTTCACATAGTACAGTTGCAGGTAGTGAAAAGTGGTTAGGCCACCACTACTCTCTCCATCTCTCAATTCACAGAATGAGCTCTGTTTCTTTGTGTCTGACTGCTCTCTGGAACCTCATACTGCTGTCCTCTAAAAGACACTTGCCTCTATAAAGCACCCAGTTCTGTTCCCCACACAACCAGGGCCAGGCCTCATCTGTGGCCTTGGTGTCCATGGCTCTGAGCTTGGCCCCAGCTCCCAAGTGACCCACTACTTCATTGCCCAACACCATCCTGACTATGGAATTTGTCTCTCTGTTCAGATTCTCTAGTGTGAGAATCATTTTGGCTCAGGACAGGTCAAATGTCCACTCCTGCTCCAATCATCTAAAGCCTAGGTAGGGGAAAGGGTGAGGTGTTATATACATGACCGCCCAGGTTTACCAGATACTAGGATGGAGAGAGAGAGGCAAACACAGAAAGATAGGTTGAAGAAGTTCTGGGGTGTTGAATGCTAATGCTCTGGAATACAAAGAGGTCATCAAAATATGTCTCTCTACCATCTACACCCTCCCCACCTCCCACTGCATCTCCCTCCCATTCCCCTTACCCCATCTGCCCACTTAATCTCCTTTCCCCTACTCCACCCAGCTTCCTTCCTACCTCTTCCCCCACCCCTAGTGAAAATTGATTTCCCCTCAGGATATGTTTTTGTTCTATTTCACATCTCTGAATTCATTGAGGGCTTTGCAGCCAGATTCCCCTCCCACAGCGGAAGCAAATTTCCCTCCTTGAAAAATTCACAGCTTTACACCAAGGGCAGTCCCAGTCCCCTGGCCTGCGATATATTGGAAGTCTTCTCTGCTGATGGGGTTCGAAGTCTCTCCGGTCTCCTTGAAGTTCTTGAGGGTTTGCTCCCTGGGATCCTGTATCAGACCACACGCTATCAGAGGCACCCCAGTAGGAAGGCACTTGAGATGGATCTGGTACTGTGACGGTTGCTGCTGGTGGGGATAGAGTGGATATGGCTGGGGAGGAGGACAAAGGGCATGAGTATGAATATGTGAATGACGCAGGGAGCTGGATAGCAAGGGGTTCCGGTGAGGCTGTGACCCAGGGCTTCGGGGTCCCGGAGAAATCAAATGTGTCTGTTTTCACTGACCTGAGGTATCCCTCCCTCTGCCCCCCAGAGATGTAATTTTTCTTATCCATAGCTCCAAAAAACTGCTGTAGGCCTCTATCCAGATCCAGTGCGATCTCTGTGGGAGCAGGCCCCGCCTTCATATCCCTCTGTTCTTCTGCTCCTCCTCTTCTTCCAGCAGCACAAGCAACCGTTGCTGCTGCCTCCTCTTCCTTCTCACCTGCTCTTCCTGTCCAAGTTCCTCCGGCAGTGGCCAGACCAGGCCCCCCTGCGGCCTGACCCTGCTGCCAGGAAGATGAAGATGCCAGCTCCTAAAGAGAGTGGGCAGGGTTGAGATGTGGGCTCTGGAGGTAGGGCGGGGAGACTAGGTGGGGCGGGAGACAGGGCAGAAGAGCTGGGGGTGGGGCGGGGTGAGGCTGGTAATCTTACTGCACGCAAAAGCTTCCACCTAAGCAGGTCCCTCTCTCTCTGCACCTCCGCAAGTTTGGTCTGGGTCAGCTGCAGCCGGAAGGCCGCCTCCTTGCGCTCCATCTCCTTCTCCTCCTTGAGCTTCTTCAAGTCTGAGGCCAAAGTCTGTGCGGCCGACTTGTGCAATTTGGCGAAGTCGTGCAGCCACTGCACCCTGTGCCCTTGTACCTGCCCCTGCCTGTGGGCGAAGCGCACGCCCAGGGCCAGGCTGCCCCAGGCGCAGGCCTCCTTGGCCTCACTGGGCACCTCACTGTCATCCAGGATGGCCATGAGCTTGCCTTCTATTTCCTCCCAGGACAGGGACATATTCTCTAGGTAGAACTCAGGGCCTTTCGTGTGCCCAGCCATTTTCTCGTTGATGAAGGCTGCCACCTTGCCATGCTGGAACCCACCGCAGGAGTCATCAGGATTCAAGGCCATGATGGCCCAGGGCCTTAGCAGCTTCCCTGGCCCTAGGAGAAGGGATCAACCAGTAGTCTCCACCCCTCCCTTTTAGCTCCTCCCCCACCAGTCTCCTCCCATCCACCTCCCCTTCTTCTTCCCCCTCCCCCTCTGACCAGACCGACTTTTTCTGCCCTAGGACCTCTCCCATCAAGCTTCGCCTCTTTAGCCAGGGGCCGGAGGAAGTACAAGCCCACTAAGCCCACCTACCAGGCACAGCAAGAGACAAAGGTCTCTCTCTGTCTCAGGGCTCTAAAGGAAAGGAAGCCTCGGGCCAACCCCCAGGCTTTTACTCTGGGACTGTTCCAATTTCCAGAGACTACAGGGGTGTGAGATAGTGTATGAGGACAGCCCCTGTCCCTTCCTGGGATGTAAGGAAACTCACCACACGATTAAAGGCAGTTGAAATTAGGAAGAAATAGAAGTGGTCAGAAAAGACTTAGGACCAATAAAATGTAGCACTTATAATCAAGTCAAAAATATCTCACTCCCACCTTAATGGTTTGTCCTATGACAGGGTAGCCCCTCCTCCTATACATGGACTATTCTAGAACAGGAAACAGCCCCAACCCCTCCCTAGCCCCTAGAGTAAGAGGGTGGGGCTTAGAGCGGAGCCCCATCCCCTATTGGCTCAGCACTATACACCGTAGTCATAGTAACAAATCGCCATCTTCATCTTTCCCCTCCCCCACGCCCAACGGGCCTTAAATCTGCCCACCTCCACCCCTCCAACCTAGTCCAGCCCTCTTCGTTTCTTCTCTTGGCTGATGTTGCTGTCTGACATCAAATAAGCCTCCTGCCCTACCCTGTCATCCAAGGAATCAGAATATGTCTTTTAAAACCTTCAATGACTTTTAGAGGCCAACAAGATAAAGCAGACAGACCTCAAGTTCAATCCTACTTTGCTACTTATTTTATGACACTGTGCTACAACTGAATCTCAGTTTATACCTGGGGGTCTATGATTTGGACTGAATAACAAAAGTACATATACAGTTTTTAAAAATAGTTTTCTATTATAATTGTAAAATTTACAAACTAGTATATGCATTTATTTATATTTTATCTATAAAGATATAATAAATTTTATGAACATATATCTATTTTTATTTACATACATACATATATACATATGTTTCTATAATCTCAGAGAACAGAGTGGGGGGAGAATATACGCCAGACACTTAACATTAGTTGTCTCTGGGAGGTGCAGTTGGCTGAAGGTTAGAAAAAAGTTTTTAAATTTGAGATATATCTTCATTTATTTCATTTGTTATAAAAAATATGACTATATGTATGCATGCATTAGAAATCTGGAAAATTATATACAAACAACAGTAGTTATCTTTAGGTGGTAGAAATAAGTATTTCTTAAACAAAATTGATTATATTTTTCTCTTGTAAAAATTGTTTATAATAAGCATATATTATGTTTTTTGAAATTAAAACAAATGTTTTCCCCAGTTTCATGTGATTATTGTAAATAAGTTTAAAGTACCTGGAAAGAACCTATCTTCCTGTAATACCACCATTCCCCTAACCTGGGAGAGAACCACTTTTAATAGTTTGATATATATCCTTCCAGTCTTTAAAAATAGGCTGTAGCCACTTAACATCAATAAGGGCACTTGATCACAGACCAGGCAAAGTGGGAACCAAAGGAAGGCCCAAACTTTACCTGTATGATGACCACTTGTATACCTAATCCTGAATTGTACCCCACATCTTTGAACTTAAAAAAAAAGTCAACAGAAACATACTTGAAGGCCAACAGGAACATATTTGATAAAGTAATATGAAGGTAATTATCTTCCAGAAAGAACATAGCTGATTTTAAATATGAGAAAGAGATTCATAGGAAAAAATAACCCACAGAAAAACCATATTTATGTATTTAAAACAAACACATAAATAAATAGGCCATAGCAAATAATTTACAGTTTCTCAAAAGAAACATCTTTTTTCTTATCTCCTGGCCCTTGTGCAGGCTGCTCCCTGTGTGCATGGATTGCCCTCAGCCCTTCCAGCTCTTTTCACTCCCATTCTCCTTTCAGCTCTTTTAACTCCCATTCTCCTCATCCACCTAACTCCTATTCAATTTCTATTCCTTGCTCATGACAGTGCTCAACTATTTTTTCTTGTATTTCTTGATGCTCCAAACCCCACCTCAAGCTTGACTGAATTGTACAACTTTTCTGTGTCTCCATAATAACTCTTGCATGCCTCTTATTGTATTTTTTACACTGTATTATAATTTGTGATTTTCAAATATTTTTTTCCCATTAATTGGGAATTCCTTTAGGGCAGTCTGTGTTTTAAATGTCTCTGTGTTTTCATCGTCTAGCACAGGGTGAAGCACCCAATAAATTAACTGTTGAATGAATTGAAATAATTTATTACATCAGTAAAATGCAAAGAAGTACCTCTATTTATTTATTTATTTTGGGTTTTAGTCTCACTCTGTTGCCCAGACTGAAGTGCAGTGGCATGCTGCTCACGGTTACCACAGCCTCGACATACTGGGCTCAGGCGATCCTTCCGCCTCAGCTTTCCAAGTAGCTGGAACTACAGGTGCGTGCCACCACACCCAGCTAATTTTTTTGACTTATTGTAGTGACGAGGTTTCACCAAGTTGCCCAGGCTGGTCATGAACCCCTGGGTTCAGGCAGTCCTCTTGCCTCAGCCTCCCAAAGTGCTGGGATTACAGACTTGCCACTGTGCCCAGCCTAACAAGTACCTATAAAGAGAGCCCTATTTTCTTTTCTGAAATATCTTTTTCTCCACACAGACTGATTTTCTGCCACCTCACAGCTTCTTGTGGTAGAGACCTTTCCTCAGTATTTGAAACCAACCAGTATCTGACAGACTTGGAATTTGTGAAAAATACCCTGGAAGATTCAGGAGTGAAACTTCTGTGTGAAGGATTAAAACAGCCCAACTGCATATTACAGACATTGAGGTAATTGATAGCAGGATAATTTGTTGTTTGTATTCATATCATTTTTTGTCAATTTTTGCTTCTGTAGAATAAAGTAGTGAGGTCATTCTTCTGTTCTTCAAAGGTTGTACCGGTGCCTTATCTCTCCTGCTTCTTGTGGGGCTCTAGCAACTGTTCTTAGCACCAATCAGTGGCTTACTGAGCTGGAATTTAGTGAAACAAAACTGGAAGCTTCAGCTTTGAAATTGCTCTGTGAAGGCTTAAAAGATCCAAATTGTAAACTACAGAAGCTCAAGTAAGTTATAACTGTTAGTTTTCATTCTGTAAGTATATTTGAAAATATGAAACTCAAGATGGGTGTCATATGATCAAAACACATTTCAAGGAGTTGTGGAAAGGAAGAAAAAAGTGGCAGTCCCTAAAATTGTTTCTCTGTAATAAGCTTAGGAGTAGAATTTTCATTTTAATTGGCAATATCATTAATGGCAATAATAAATCACACTTACTGAACAATTACTTTATACTTAGCATTGTGCTGCATGCTTTGTTTACCCAGATTCCTTTAATCTCAACAGCTGTGAGAGGTCTGGATTATTATCCTCATTTTAGCAGATGAGGAAATGGAGGTCCAGTGTTGTTAGACTAAAAAACATGACAAATGAGCAAAAACCAAGATATATCTGACTTCACGTTCATAGTATTCATCTTAATAAAGAATTTGTGGCTGGGCATGGTGACTCATGCTTGTAATCCCAGCACTTTGGTAGGTCAAGGTGGGAGGATAGCTTGATCCCCAGAGTTTAAGAACAGCCTGGGCAATATAGTGAGACCTTCTCTCTACAAAAATAAAAATAAAAAATTACCTATAGTCCTAAACTTACGTGGGAGGATCACTTGAGCCTAGGGGTTCAAGGATATGGTAAACTGTGATTGTACCATTTCACTCCAGTCTGGGTGACAGAATGAGACCTTGACTCAAAAAAATAAAAACGAAAAATGTGTTGTCATATGCAGAGGACCCACAAAACCCAGAATTATCTCTTGGAGGGCAGGCCTCTTGTAGTACAGGCTTTCTCTGCTGGGTAAGTGTTCTAGGTACCCGTTGACCTTAGTGTATCAGCTAACATTGTTGTGAGAGGCTGCATTCAGCTTCAGTGAGGTTTTTGTTTGTTTGTTTGTTTGTTTGTTTTGAGATTCTTTCAACACATTTGTTCATTTCATGAATGATTTATGAGCACACTTGCCCACACCATGCTAAATATACAGCAGTTTTTGGTCAAAAATGGCATGACCCCCATGCCTAACCCTCCCTATTCACCCTGTCTCGCCCCAAATGACTTTTTTGTTTGTTTCCCCGGATGAAAAAAGTCCTCAAAGGGAAACATTTTGCTGATGTGGAAGAGGTGAAACAAAAAAGGGCAGAAGCACTAAAACTTACAAGTTCAAAAACTGTTTTGAGCAATGGAAAAAGCATCTCAATAGGTGTGTCATATCAAACGGAGAGTGCTTTGAAGGTGACAAGTTTAAACATGTAAGAATAAATACACAATTTTATATAAGCAAATTCCAGTTGTTTTGGGTTCTCCCTTGTATGTATTAGGGTTCTGTAGAGAAATAAAATTAATAGGCTATATGTGTGTATATGTGTGTGTGTGTACATACACATACATAGAGTGAGAGATGAGGTTTATTTTTTTAAATTGGCTCATGCAGTTACAGAGGCTGGCAAGTCCAAAATCTGCAGGGTGGGCTGACAGGCTGGAGAAGAACTGGAAAAGAGCCAGTGTTGTGGTTTAAGCCTGAAGACTGTCTGCTAGTGGAATTCCCTCTTCTTCTGAGGAAGTCAGTCTTTTTCTATTAAGGCTTTCAACTTACTGGATAAGGCCAAACCGTGTTATGAAGGGTAATCTGCTTTACTTAATGTTTACTGATTAAAATGCTAATTTCATCTAAAAAGTACCTTTACAGGAACATCTCAAATAATGTTTGACAAAATATCTGAGTACTGTGGCCTAGCTAAATTGACTGTAAAATTAACTATTACATATATATGTGGGGTATTTTAAAGCAAATGCTCTTTAGCATGAAAGTTTTGTAAAATCCACTTTGGAAACTCATTTTATGCAAAGTACCTGTATTTAAACACTTTAAATTGGAGAATTATAAATACATCTCCTTATGAGCTTTCTTCAAGACTATGTTTGGAGTCTGGTAAGTCAAGAAAAAATTAAAGATTCAATGGTTATATTGTATATCTTGAAATTCTTGAAAATGATGGAAGAAAAAGTTGATAGGAAATGGTTCAGGGAATTGGACAAGTTAATGTGAAGAAACAGAGGTTGAGAAGCCAGGGACATCAGTAAAAACCACTCTTTGTACCAAAGAAAGAATGTCATGCGAATGATGATGATGGACTGGATCTCTCTTAGGATGGCAAATAAATAATGACATTTAGATAAGAGGAAAACAAAGACCTTTGACCATAAAATTTACGAAGGATGATTATAGAATTTTCCCACTGGGATTTGAAAGAAGATATGAGATAGAGTATTGACTTCATACAGGGGTTTAAAATGGGATTAAGTCATCCTAATATTTCCTCCTAATTTTTTCTTTTTCTCAGACAGTCAACATTTATTGAGTTTCCATAGTGGTATACATTGTTTTGGAAGTGTTCTTACCATGGGGGATAAGGGACTGTGACATACTCAAGATTGGGGGAGGTCTTGTGTCTGTGAGTGTTTATTTTCTTTGCTCATGAAGTATTGTGGCTAGAATGTGAGTAGTTCACTAAAAAGTGGCCAATTCTGTCTCTGTACATTTTTTCCCTTCAGGTTGTGTGCTAGCCTTCTCCCGGAAAGCTCAGAGGCTGTTTGCAAGTATCTTGCCTCTGTTCTCATTTGTAACCCACACCTCACTGAGCTGGACCTGAGTGAGAATCCCCTGGGAGACATAGGGGTGAAGTATCTTTGTGAGGGTCTCAGACATTCCAACTGTAAAGTGGAGAAACTAGAGTACGTTTCGTAGAACTATCTGGTATCATCTTATGGCTACTGAACTTGTTGAGTGCCTGTAATGTGCTTGGTGCTTGCCAGAAGTTATCTCGCCTTATTCATTCCTTACCATATAAGGCGGGTTTTCTGATTCCCATTTGTACAGATGAGGGAACTGAGAATCAGGAAGAAAAATGGCTTTTCCAAAATCAAAATGCTAATAAGTCAGGATGTGACTCTAAAATGTCTCCAAATCTTATGTTCTTTTCAATATACCACAGTTGTATGTGTTTACCAGAATGACATCAATTAAATGTTAACTATATAAAGAATGTACCCAACATTGGGCTAGATGTGGGTGGAGTTATCAGAAGTTCTACAAATGACAAAGCTGCCTTTAAGGACACACAGACATGTGCCAAATACTGTGGAATCATTTAGAAATGCCAGATGAGCCCAGGGAAGAGGAGGAGGTCACTGGAGGCTAGAGACCTCAGGAGATTCTGTGAAGAAGGTAGGGAAGGACCTGGAACTTAAAGGATCACTAGGGTTTAGCTAAGTGGGGAGACATTCCTAGGAAGCCAAAATTATGGCAGTGGTTGATCTTTCTTTTCTTTTTCTCTGGGCAGCTTGAGCACATGTTACCTCACAGATGCCAGCTGTGTGGAGCTCTCTTCTTTCTTGCAAGTGAGTCAGACTTTAAAAGAGCTGTTTGTGTTTGCCAATGCCCTGGGGGACACAGGAGTACAGTATCTCTGCAAAGGTCTGCAGTATGCAAAGGGTATAATTGAGAATCTTGTGTAAGTATCTGCTTGTCGTTGGCTTTCTCATGGGAATTGGAATTTGAGGGCCAGTGGGATTCCCAGCTGCCATAAATAACGACCACTTTGGTGTCCCCATCCCTCTAGGCTTTCCGAATGTTCCCTCTCTGCAGCTTGTTGTAAGCCCCTCGCCCAAGTCCTGAGTTCCACCCAGAGCCTGACAAGGCTGCTTCTAATTAATAACAAAATTGAAGATTTGGGACTGAAATTGCTATGTGAAGGATTAAAACGACCTGACTGTCAGTTAAAGGATCTGGCGTAAGTATTATGGACTGTAGCCACAGGCAAAGTTTCCTGGTGTTTCAGCAACTCCCAAGATTAAATGAATATTTTTTGACCTGTTGATTAAATCTCTAAGGAAGCAATAAATGGAAAACTAAATAATTTAGCAAGAATAAATCATCCTTTATCCACAACTTCTGCCTGGTCCAGGCCCAAGGGATTTTTAAAAATATGATGCTGATTTTCTAATGTGCAAACACAATACTTTAAACCTAATCCTGATGAATTGATGCCAGCCTGTCTACCTTACTTTCTGGCAGATTGTGGACCTGTCACTTGACAGGGGCATGCTGTCAAGATTTGTGCAATGCCCTCTACACCAATATACACCTGAGAGACCTTGACCTCAGTGACAATGCCTTAGGGGATGAGGGCTTGTTGGTGCTGTGTGACGGGCTAAAGCACCCCTGCTGTAAACTACAGACCTTATGGTAAGCGCATGGGGACTCCGTTTCTACTGGACTTTTGTTCTAGGCTGTATATGAAAGGGAGGGCCACTGGGGAACTTGGGATAAAACTGATTACCTTCTTGAATCTCCAATCTTTCATAGGTTAGCAGACTGTCATCTCACAGATGCATGCTGTGGAGTCCTCGCCTCTGTCCTTAACAGAAATGAGAACTTAACATTGCTAGACTTAAGTGGAAATGACCTCAAGGATTTTGGAGTGCAAATGCTATGTGATGCACTGATTCATCCAATATGTAAACTTCAGACATTCTAGTAAGTCACTGTGGTGGGGAAAGTGGAAAGGAAGGAGTTAGGACAGGAATGCAGAGAGTAAAGAGAAGAAAAATAGAGCAGGTTAAGCCTACATTACTTTACAAGTAAAGTAAGTGAAATTACCAATAGTCCTATCTTCCTTGGACACAGAGGCAGGTAGAGAAGCAAGGAACAGGCAGCTCTATATCTCTGCTAAGGGAAGCAACGTGGTGTAGGCAAAAGAGCATAGGATCTAGATTTTACTAGGTCTGGCTCAAATCTAGCATCTATTAACTATGTAACCATACTTACTTAACCTCAGTATCCTTATCTGTAAAATGGGGATAATGCTGGAACCTGTCTACTTAAGGTTAATATAGGGATTGAGACAGCAATTATGAATGTACCAAGTACAACCTGTGGCACATAGGAATTACTCCATAAATGTTAGGCTCTATTCATTTTCAGTTGTATTAACTGCTAGAGGGCTTAATGTATACATTTTGAGAATCTTCAGCACTCAAGGGGATGAAGCTATAATGGTATAATTACAGAGGGTGGAGGTCTTGATCCTCTCTGGTCAATGTCTATCTGCCAATTTAGCAGACTAGCATGACACACAAAGTAATTCTTAATTAGAATACAGCTATGTTCTGTTGGCAGCTAACCAGTGGCCAAATGGCCATTTGTTTTTGGCATCCAGAACTGGAACGCATAATGGAAACTAAAGGCTGAGTGCAAAAATTCCACATTCCAAAGCCAATTCGATGGATTGAAACGTAAATGAAAACAGTATAAAGGCCTGATTACAAGTTTGACTAAAACAGAAGCTGGTTCTCTACTAGCAAAGTGAAGTCTGTTAGCTTCAAAGGGCCAAGAGTGTGGTGATACTGCCCAAGAAGAGGGAATTATTTACAACATGATAAGCCTCAGGGGTTAGAGATCTCCATGGTGTCTTTCTCAAAAAGAAGTAAACGGAATCTTTATTATCAATAGGTTGAGATAAGCTCAATAAGCAATCTTAACATTTCTTTAAATGTGGAGTAATTGAACATAGTAGCACTCCACAGTGTATATGCTGCTGTAAAAGTCCTAAATAGCAGCAAGGAGAAATTATTTTGTTGGTGATGGCATGCCAATATTTTATTAATTGTAAATTATGCCATTTCCTATTTCTCGCATGCTTTGTCTTTTTTAAAAAATATACTAATAACATCTCTGTCGCTGGGTTTTTATTTTTATTTTATTTTTTGAATTTAATTTAATCTTATTCTTAAGTTAATTAATTTATTTTTATTTTAGAGTTATAGGGTACATATGAGGATTTGCTACATAAGTAAATTGCATGCAGGTGAGGTTTGGGCTTCTAGTGAGCCTGCTTTCCCCCCAGTAGTCGACAGAGTATCCATTGGGTGGTTATTTGCCCCTTAGTCCTCTTCCCTCCCTTCCTCCCTTAGCGGTGCCCAGTGTTTGTTGTTCCCATTTGTGTGCTCATGTGCCCAAAGTTTAGGGCCTGCTTATGAATGAGAACATGTGGTATTCAATTTTTTGTTTCTGTGATAGTTTACTTAGAGTGATCATCTCCAGCTGCATCCATGTTGCTACAAAGGACATTATTTTATTATTTATGGCTTCATAGTATTCCGTTGTATATATATATACCACATGTTCTTTAACCAGTCCACTGTCGATGGGCATCTGGGTTGGTTTCATATTTTTGCTATTGTGAGTAGTGCTGCAGTGTGTGTGTGTGTGTGTGTGTGTGTGTGTGTGTGTCCACGAGGTGTCTCTTTGGTAGAGTGATTTTCGTTTCTCTGGGTATATTCCCAGAATTGGTATTGCTGGATTGCATGGTAGCTCAATTTTTAATTGTTTGAGAAAACACCACACTGCTTTCCACACTGTTGAACTAGATTACATTCTAACCAACAGTATAGAAGTCTTCCCCCTGCAGCTTCATCAACACTTATTTTTGGCTTTTTAATGATAGCCATCCTGTTTGATGGGAGGTAGTATCTCATGGCAGTTTTGATGTACATTTATCTGATGATTAGTGAAGCTGAGCATTTTTTCATGTTTGTTGGCTGCTTCAGTGTCCTTTGTGAAGTATTTGTTCGTGTCCTTTGATCACTTTTTAATGGGGTTATTTGCTTTTTTCCTGTCAATTCATTTGAGTTCCTTGTAGATCCTGCATGTTAGGCCTTTGTTGGATGCATAGCTTGCAAATATTTTCCCCTCCCATGGGTTGTTTTTATACTCTCTTGATGGTTTCTTTTGCTGTGCAAAAGCTTTTCAGCTTGATAGGGTCTCACCTGTCAATTTTAAATTTTGTTGCATTTGCTTTTAAGGATTTGACCATGAATTCATTGCCTACTCTGATGTCCAGGAGGGCTGTAGTGCAGTGGCACAATCAGGTGATCCTTCTGCCTCAGTCTCCCAAGTAGCTGGAACTACAGGTGCCCACCACTATGCCTGGCTAATTTTTTTTTTTGTAGAGATGAGGCCTTGCTATGTTGCCCAAACTGGTCTCAAACTTCTGGGCTCAAGCAATCCTTCTGCTTCAGCCTGAAGTACTTGGATTTCAGGTGTGAGCCACTGTGTTTGACCTTTTCTAAGATTCTTATAGTTTGAAGTTTCACGTTTAAGTCTTTGATCCATTTTGAGTTAATTTTTTGTATATGGTGATAGGTAAGGGTCCAGTTTCATTTTCTCATGTGGTTATCCAGTTTTCCCAGCACCATTTGCTGAATATGCTTTGCTTTCCCCAATGTTTGTTTTTGTTGACTTTGTTGAAGATGAGTTAGGTGAAGGTCTGTGGTATTATTTCTGAATTCTCTGTCCTGTTCCATTGGTCTGTGTGTCTATTCCTGTACCAATACCATGCTGTCATGGTTACTGAAGCCTCGTAATATAGTTTGAAGTCTGGGAATGTGATGCCTCCAGCTTTGTTCTTTTTGCTGAAGATTGCTTTAGCTATCCGGGGTCTTTTTTTTTTTTGCTTTCATATCTGTCCCCTACATACGAATGAGTGCCATTTTGAGAGTGTGTTCATAAGTCCAACAAAGTTAGCCTAGGCTCCCAACTAATACAATCTGCTATATAGTACAGTACTAGAATAGATCTATAATACTTTTCTCATATGTAATACTTAAAAACTAAATATACAGTACTGTATAGTAAAGAGCACAAAAGCACAACCATTTGTAGAGGAGGCACACATGTGACAATGTATGCCAGACACGTGAACTAACTTCTGTGGTTGGACATGTGAACACATGTTTGCATCTTTGAAAGTTCACCACTTGAAGGTTTGTATGTAGGGGATTTACTGTCTTGTCTTTTCTAGGTCTGTGAAAAATGATGCTGGTAATTTGATAGGGATTGTGTTGAATCTGTAGATTGCCTTGGGTAGAATGAACATCTTGTCAATAATGTTCCTTCTGATCCTTTATTTCATCCTTAGTTTCTTTGAGCAGTGTTTTGTAGGTGATATTGTAAAGGTCACCTCTTTGGTTAGATGAATGCCAAGGTATTTTATATTTTGTGGCTATTGTGAATGGGATTATGTTTTTATTTAGTTCTTTGCCTGCTTTTTGTTGGTGTATAGAAATGTACCTGTTTTCTGTACATTGATTTTGTATCCCAAGACATTCTCAAAGTCATTTATCATTGTAGGAGGTTTTTCACAGACTTGCTAGAGTTTTCTACATATAGAACCACATCTGCAAAGAGGGATAATTCAACTCCTTCTTTTCCTATTTAGGTACCTCTAATTTATTTTGCCTACTTGATTGCTTCGGCTAGGACTTCCAGTACTATATTGAACAGGAGGGGTAAAAGTGGACATCCTTGTCTTGTTCCAGTTCCCAGGGGGAATGCTTTAAGTTCCTGCCCATTAAATATGTGGCTGCACAGGTTTCTCATAGATGGCTCTTATTATTTTAAGAATGTTCCTTCAATGCCTAGGTATTTGAGAGTTTTTATCAAAAAACGATGTTGGATTGTATTGAATGCTCTTTCTGCGTCTAATGAGATAATCATGTGGTTCTTGGTTTTACACCTATTTATGTGATGGATTACATTTACTGATTTGAGTATGTTGAACCAGCCCTGCATCCCAGGGATTAATCCCACCTGGTCATGATAGATGATCCTTGAAATGTACTGTTGGATATGATTTGCTAGAATCTCATTGATGATTTTTGCACCTATGTTCATTAGGGAGATTGACCTGTAGTTTTCTTTCCTTGTTGGGTCTTTGCCATTTTTGGGTGTCAGGGAAATATTGGCTTAATAGAATGAGCTAGGGAGCATTCCTTCCTTCTTGATTGCTTGGACTACGTTCAGTATGATTGGTATCAGCTCTTTCTTGTATGTCTTGTAGAATTCAGCTGAAAAACCATCTGGTCCAGGGTTTTTTTTGGTGGGAAGGTTTCTTATTACTGAGTCATTTTCTTGGATTGTTATTGGTCTGTTTTTGGTTTCAGTTTCTTCCTGTTTTATTCTTAGGAGAGTATGTGATACCAGGAATTCCTCTATTTCCTCTAGATTTTCTAGTTTATTCACATACAGATGTTCATAGTAATCACTGATAATCTTTGTATTTCTTTAGGATCATTGTAACATGGCCTTTTTGCATTTCTAATTAAGTTTATTCAAATTTTCTCTTTCTCTCTCTCTCTCTTTTTTTTTTATTAATCAGGCCAGGGGTCTATCAATCATTTATCCTATCAAAGAACCAGCTTTTCATCTTGTTGATCCTTAGTGTGATTTTTTTGGTCCCTATTTTATCAAATTGTGACTTTATTTTAATAATTTCAATTTTTCTGATTTGTGGTTAGATTGCCCTTGTCTTTCCCGATTTCTTAGGTGCAATGTTAATTCAGATCCCTCTATTTTGATATGTATGTGCAATTTTATAAACTTCCCCCTCAGCACCATTTTTATAGTATCCCAGAGTTTTGGTGTTTTATATATTTGTTTTCATTTGTTTCTAAGAAATTTTATTTCTGCCTTCATTT